ATTTTTCTCTTGTGAAATACTTCTTCGGAAAACTTTTTATGAAGCTCTTCAGCAGTATCATTTTGTGAAGATGACCGAAGTTGATGTATATTGACTGACGATTGGCACGATTGATTATCTAACACACGTACTTCCTGTTCTTGGGTCCTGTGTACTATATTTGGCCCCTTCCTGAAACTTTGCATTTTCCTCCAAAGAACTCAGTTGTCTTTGGCAACTTGGAATGGTTTGTCAAACTTGAGTCTTCCTCTCACTTTGCCAAATACTATTATAGCCATCTCATTTTTTTAATCTTTTTGCTGGCCAGTGCCCATTTAATTATCAATTAAATAAAAAGTAAAAAAGAAGGAAAACTGAGAACGAGAGAAAAGGAAACCTGCCGACTCTGTCAAGAAGGAGGCATCGGAGCAATTCCTTTGTGCTTTGGCCCCGAAACGACACAGCCTCTTCGGAAAGACAAATACAACGCCTAAAAGAAATAGCTCATATCTAGTATGATTTTAAAGAGTTAGCCTGGAAAGGTGACACAAATTCTTAGGGAAATAAGCAAAGATTAACCCTAGAAAGTACTCAAATACCTTAAAGGTACATTCTGCGGAATGGAAATAAAGAAAGGTCAAACCCACAATAGATCTTTTAAGTCGCAGTTGAAGAAAGGTTAACTTTGATCACCAGTGACCCCGAGGGAACATACAGGGTTAATCAGTAAACAGTGAAAATGATCCAATCTCTCATTTTTCGTGATAGTTTACATGTTATATGGTGGTCTATAAAAAAATATAAATTGGATCTTTCCATTAGAGAGAATCAATGCTTATATTAATACTAAACGAATTTGAACCAAGTAAAAAAAACGAGAATAAAAGTATGCTGGAAGAGATATCGAAGTGATATTACGGATGTGGGCACGGGCTGTATAGTTGTCGCAAATTCGTGTTTGAATGGGTGAACCGAGTTTTACATACATACATAACAAATATCAAAATAATGCCTGTCCGCATCCGTTCAGACTTTCAATGAGATCGTTCTAAGTGCGAAAATTAAACGTTTGAAACAACTTTTAACTAAATTAAAAAAAAAAGGAAATCTTTACAGATAAAATATAAGGATTATAAATTTTTATTACAATATTGTTATTGAACAACACGATAAGCTACAATGCGAAAAAAATCTTGTCAATATGTCAAAACCCAATAACATTCCTTGTGTCAAGTTGTTTGTCTTCAGTCTCTGCCTGATAAAATTGATGATCCAGGCCTCTGTGTATTGATGACCTATGTATCCCGTTGTTTGGTAAAAATAACCAAGATGCAGGAATAAATACAAAAATTTCTCAGTGATAATGAAATACTGAAAGCGAAGGTCCGTTAGAAACGTGTATCAATTAGCCAGTACTTGTTAGAAATTCTTTATTTAAAAAAAAATTAAAAATAGTAAGAGATGGCAACATGAGAAATTAAAACATCTATATTTTGTTAGCAAAAAATTAATAATACCATTTTATTATAAATCGAAAATATATTACAAATGGTATTGGTGATGGTGATAATTGCAACCAACCGATGATAAATCCTGTATCCAACGTGAGACAGACCTTAAAAATGAACAACAATGCAAATAGTAGATTCATTTTTGTAATAGTACAAATGCATGGATTATGATAAATGTTACAAATTATTAAAGGAATTAGGCATGACGTGTATATCGTTTTATATATTTGCTTTTTTTCACAAAAATTCGTCGTTTTACATGAGGTATTACACTTACAGTTTGTTCAGATTATATGTCTAGCGCTCACATATACGAAAGTAATTTAAGCAAGTGTGGAATAGGTCAGAGTTAATAGATGAAATAAAGTCTTTAATTCGAAAGTCAGAGTCTATGAAGAAGTGGCCAGAAACTATTTTCCGATTAGTTTTCTTGATATTAAAAGTTTTGCACACCTGAGATCATGCAAACTCAGGATTCCACTTATTTAGACCGAAATGAAGATTTCTAGTTTTGCCCCAATTACTTCTGTACACCTACTTTTGGTGTTTAATTTTACTGACTTACCAATAAAAAAATTAGGTTTATTTAGAATAAAAGCGGGAAGCACAATTTGTCCGAGATTCTGTGCAGGAATGATAAATTTTATAATATTTAACCTTCCAGGGTCAATATTGTTTGATGATCAATTATTGCAGAGAAATAGAAAGAAACATTACTGCACTCGTAAAATCAGGTAAAAAAAAATATTTCAGTGGTGTTAAAGCGACTTCACTGGCCAACATTTTCACAATAAAATTATGTTACATATTAGCATTTATTACAGCGGTAACATAAGACCGATAGCGGTTTATGAAATCAAATTCGACGGTAACATCTACCATAAGTATTACTTTTTTCAAATAAACCACCGTACCTAGTACATTTTGAGGAGTTTGTTGAACCCGACAGTTGAGGCAGAACACAGTTTTTTGTTTTTCTCGGGACTGTAATGTGTTTATTTTTGTGTGTGTTGGAAAAGAACACCCCTCCGATTGGTCAATCCTAGACGCTTATCTTCGATTGCTCCTTTTGACCTTTCCCGTTGTGCGCAGTATTCCGGAATTTAAGATTAAGGCTTCTGATTGCAGGGAAGAAGAACAGTGGAAAATACGCACCTTTTCCATCTCGCCGTACAACGAAAAAAAAGTAAAAATTAACATTTTTTGCATAATTATTCGGAAATCGTGAGATGCGGTCTGGTGAGATGTAGGTTTCAGATAAAACATTTTCTTTATCGTGCCAACGTTTCGATCTTTATTGAGATCATCTTCAGGGCCTGAGATTTACAAACATTGTTAAAATTTAACAAATACATGTAGTATGTGGAAAAAAGTGAATTTATACAATGCAAAAAATATGTTAAAATTTAACATACACATCCTACATGTATTTGTTAAATTTTAAAAACGTTTGTAAATCCCAGGCTCTGAAGATGATCTCAATAAAGATCGAAACGTTGGCACGATAAAGAAAATGTTTTTCTCGAACCTACATCACACCAGACCGCATCTCACGATTTCCGAATAATCACCGACTAACGGTCACTAATCACTACACATATTTTGTATAACTTAATAATTATTCTTCTTGTAAACAAATGTTCAGTATTAATTATGTAAAACAGTTTGGAAGGATAATTTAATTTATTATGTTATTAGTCAGTTAAATCCTTTCTACTTAAGTTTCAATTTTTGTTTTTAGAATTACTTATTTTATGAGAGTTTGTGAGAGGCCAAGGTATTCACAAAATATACTCAATTTTCTACTTGCTTATCACTAATTTAAAGCAATCAAAACAACAAAGTGTTGTCTTAAAACACAACAAATATGCAGCGTTGCCGAAATAGAAATTAAATTATTCTGTTGAAATTGTCTCGAAAAAGTATCCCCACAGAGCATAGTTCGAAATTCTTCTATTACCCATGAACACTATAAATATTTTTTACGGTGGTGAGATGTGTAGGGAAGTCAGAAATATAAATATTATAAGGATGGGACTAAGTAAAAATGCACCCTTGCGGGACGCCGGCTTATATCGGTTACTATATTATACGGTTACCGCGATTCAATCTGAAGCAGCGGTCAACTAGGATTTCAAGATAACTTAATAAATTTATATATTTCGACTTTTCAATAGGTTACGAAGATTACATAAATTGAAAGAAGCTTAACTTGAGAACTAAGCAAATATATAAGCATAATAAATCATGCTTTTTTCAGTTTTTCATTACAGACTCAATTTAACAGTCATTAACGGTGGTTAAATACCCCAAGGAACTCTAAAAGTGAGAAGAAATATTTGGAACTTTGTGTATAATTGTTTGTCCTTAAATTTATATGGCAAATTATATATTATTTATATACACTTTTACTTATATTTATATCAATTATATATTCAAAATCTAAAAATCTTTCTCAGTTCATGTACTTCCTAATTTTTGAATGATGCTATGTAGCAAATACTTTTCAACCACTATAATTCAGACGTAATCAAGCGTAGAAAATTGTCCACTCTCATTTAAATAGAAATTTCAATTTACTGTCGTATGTAATCGCCATAAGAACATCAGGTGTTTTTTATTTAAAAAAATACAAGCATAAAGACTAATGACCTTGATTGGCAAAATATCGATGAAGTTTTTGCAGAAATTGATAAAATTTATTATGAACTTTACTTACAATTTTGTCTCAGGGAAAACAAAGCATAACGCCAAACATCACCAAAACATCGGTAAACGTTCCTGTATATGCAAAATGATATCCATATACTACAGAATGAAATCACATCGCGGAGACTCATAAATAAATATAGAACGGCCCAAATGTATTATGTAGAAGGAATTACTTTTGTTGTCAGTGGACCGTAGGCCGTGTATAATATCAAGAAGTGTGTTAGTGTGCGCCAGAAAGCAGAGGATGCTATATGAACGTGTGCAAGCCGGCGTCAGCAGATCCGGCATGAGAAAAGGTCCTCCTAGATCTTAAACGGGATAGCGAACGTGACTAACCCTCCTAAGTAAACAATGTTTTTGACAAAAAAAGTCATTCAAACGACATTTCATATTGATAATAAAACATCTTGGGCATTTGTACACTGCTGTTCTAAAATTAATATTCAATAATATTCCAATGTCTAATCACATTTATCAAGTGGCTTTATTTTCAAACTTAAAAAAAATCAGCAGATAAAATCCGATCTGCTTTAATTTATCCGATTCCTTACATTTTTTCTTAATATCAATTAAAAATATTGTGAGCCACTTTAATGACAAAGATCGAGCATGTTTAAATTAAAGTTTAGAAAACTAAAGAAAAACTGAAAATCTATTGTTACCTGTATTGAAATTAGGGCTGGAATACTTGATATTAAGCATAACAGGTACAATAAAAATTATAATTGTTAGGAAAAAAGTTAGCCTTTTTTGATTTGAAAATTCTTTTTTATGCGTTTTCTATTAACACACACTTACCTCCATTTACGATGCATGTCAACCGAATTTCATGTCCTTCCAAATAAGGGCCAGCGACATCCCGTACATCATCGCCGTCCTCAAAATATATATTAGGCTCAGAAGGAGGAACTGTAGAAAAAAACTTATGCAGTATATACAAAAAATTCAGCATAATTATAACATAGGACATAACATACAGACAAAGTGGGATTGAAAGAGAAAGGGAGGGAGAGAGGGAGGGAGAGAGAGAGAGAGAGGGAGAGAGAGGGAGAAAGAGGGAGAGAGAGAGAGAAATAACGAAAGAGCGAGTGAAAGAGTGTGTTAGAGAAACATATTGAGTAAGAAAGAAAAAAAGAGAGTGAGAGAAAGAGAAAAAGAGGGCTAGAAAGGCAAACATAGAGTATAAGGGAAAGTAGAGAGAGAAAATGAGTGATTATTTCACAGTTCATGGGATATGAAGGAGAACTAAATAACGAAAGCGCGAGTGAGAGAGTGTGATAGAGAATCAGAGTGTGTTAGAAGGAGAAAAAAGAAAGAGTAATAAAGAAAAAAGAAAGAAATGAGAGAGAGATAGAGAGAGAGAGAGAGAGAGAGAGTAGCAGTGCACGGCAGCAGGCAGAGATCGTTGATCTAATGTGAGAGAAAGTGAGACAGAGAGAGAGAGAGTGAGAGTGAGAGTGAGAGAGTGAGAGAGAGAGAGAGAGTGAGAGAGAGTGAGTGAGTGAGGGAGTATGTGGGGGGGAAAGACAAAGAGTTTATTTTTATAAGTGTCGTTGCATTGGTGCACTTAAACATAGTAAGTTAAAGTTAATGTGTTTACGTATCAGTTACCTATTATTGTGAGGTTAACCTTAAAATTGGTCGTCGGGGCATTGAGGTAATCTATGCGACATCTGTAAATGCCCACATCCGTGGGTACTATCTTCTGAATCCGGAGATGTCCCGGTTCCCCATTAACATAGTAGGTCCTCGTGCCCAGTTTTGAAGTTAAAGCCGAATGTATAGGACGTCCGCGGTTTTCGTCCCTTTTATCCACGCTGAAACAAATAAAATACGTTCAATACAAGACAAAATCACCATTATATGCATGACAATATATTGTTTGATTGCGCTAACTGGAGACGGTTTTGGAAAAGTTTGATTTGGTTTAGTTGAACATATTTCTTTTTATATCGAGCCATTTGAAGGAAACAATTAGGCGAAAATGTGATTGAATGAATTGTTGAAATTATATACCCTTAGGTTTTTAATTATCTATAGTGAAATACCCTAAAATATTAAATTGGATATTCCCCATTGTTTGTAAGTAAAAAATGAAATTCCTGTTTTTTATATTTTCTATTTGGTTTATACTGCTTAGCATCATTGGAATCTTTCTTTTGGGATTATTTAAAAGTTAAAGTATGAAAGCTTTTCGGCAATAAGAAATGTCGAGTATATAACACGTCATGGGACTGAGGCTCGCTAATAACTAATACATCCTCAATCAAAGCAATGAACGTTTTCTCCCTACCATATCTAAATTAAACTATTATATTTACGATTTCAAAGGTTTTTCTGAATGTAACATTATATAACATGTAATAAATTAATAGAAAGTGTTAAAAAAAAATTCATTGACGCAGTCCAACTGTACTGATGGAGAGAAGTCGAAAGACGTTTGATAGAACCAATGAGAAGATAGGCTAACCAATATGATCGGAAACGACCAGACTACATATTATTTACTTAAAAAAAAGAAGAGAAATCTTCAAATGAACTGGTAGTCCGTATGGGACAGATAGGGATGATCCCCCCTAACCAAGTTCATTCAAATTTTGTACAATTGTTTGAAATCTGAAAGAAAATCTTTCTGTTCCCCATTGCATTTGCATGAAATCACATTTGGTCAATTTCTTCGTGATTCGTCCGTGTACATGAGTCGATTTTTCCTCCCTGGGTATAAAAAAAGAAAAATGAATGACAGTTGAAGTCAAAGTAAGTACGTCTGTTACATGGGGATTTTTATAAACATTTTCCATAAAAGGTCATCATTCATGGTATTCCACGAGTTTTTTTTAAGAAAACCAACGGTGGAATAATTTTTTCACCCTTCAACAAAACCAAATTAAAATCTCCCTCAGTTTGGCCAACTGAACCTTAAAAAATGTTATTTAAACTGAAAGGCCTACTCAAGAAAGAGAACTAACAATGTTATTAAATGGAGAATCAACCTTTTTTAATAATGTGTATAAGTACTTTTATTAGGATTCATCTCAACCGAAATTAAAAGGTTAAAACAAAAACTGACAATTTATATTATGATCGCCCCACATAAAAATTTTCATTTTCAACAAAAATATCCTATTTCCTGTTGGTGTAGTGGTTTTTTCCGTTTTTCATCCTTAAAACGGCTGTTCAAGTCGAGTCTTTACAAAATTTCTATTCATTAAAAAATTCTATGAATGAACTGATTTCTTTTAAGATCATGAAAATAATACACCTTAAAGCGAATTTTTCTTTTATAAATCACCCACTCTAAACAAATTTGAATAAAGCATTCCTGATACCCGGACCCGGTCGAACAGACTACCTCATAGTGATTATTACTTACGTTTCTTTAATTATTATAATAAATTATAATTATATTATTGAGGTATATATAACAATTTTTCATTTGGGATGAATTATGAACGTGTTTTGTGTAACTTTCACATCGTTGTGTCATTAGTCGTAAGTTGTTCCACAGTATTAGAGCAGCGAAACGCAATCATCGGCCTCACCGAAGATAAATTGAAGCGCAATTGTTTTATTAATTACTGGTGATGGGGTCCGGTAGGAGATGAGAATGAACCACATCCTTCCCTTGGAAAAGGGGCGAAGTCATGGGTAGCACAGTTCTATTCAACAAGCCAGGCCAGCCTCGCTGCGACGACAAAATTACCCGCCCATTGGAAAGGGCAGGTGACGGATGTTTCCATGTCTAACTAGATCCACCAATTAACTATTTATTCAACTGGTGAAATTTCGACATCTTTTCTTCAAGACTACGACAAGGAAATAATAACTCTTAAGAGGATTATTGAATATAATTATGTGCCCAGTGCTAGGTTGTGAAGCAAAAAATTTACCTTTTTATGCCCTTTCGATAAGAATAACAACGACTTAAAAATCAGGTAAATTTAGCACATACCAGAAGAACAACAAAAAATTAGAAAAATCTTGAAGAACTTTACTTTGAAAAAAGCCCTCAAAAGATCGGGAAGCCAAACGACCTTAAAAGCATTGCCAATCCAAAATCTACAAAACCTAGCAAAAGACAACCTGTGCCAGGACACGAAAGGGTTCTGGGTATGTACAAATGGATAAACTGTCCAAGGAGGTTCTACAAAATGCTATAGACCCAGACTATACTTAGGGTTACAAGATCAAACACAGATTCCTCCTTTTCAAAATGGGTCCACAAAAAGGTGCCATGATTAAAGAACCCTCACCAAAACTGGCAAACACATTGCTAAAGTAAGACATTGCAAAGCATAGGGATAGTGATAGGGATATAAAGAAGTCACTGGCATCTGAGGAAACTCCTAACCAACATGATGGCCCCATTTATAGGTTTTGCAATGTGTAGGAAGAAACTTCCAATCATATCATCTTTAAATGTGAAGCAATATACTACTTCTTCTATACTAGCGTACTAAGATAACTGAAACTAAGAAAACTGGAAAAAATGGCAGCAATGACATATGTTTCCCATTGGGGGTTGCACTGTCATCAGAAGGACACTGAGGTTCTTTAACGTGCGCACCTGGCACATGTCCTTATCACACGTTTAGATTATCAAGATAGGACCGACACACCTCCGCTCACAAGTGGTCAATGTTTTAATTCTGTGCGGTTTGGTGTAGAAGAGCCACTTATCCACAGACTACAGTGACTTGCCCCGTCCGAAGCGGTGGGTCAACATCTATGCACCCTACGTGTGCCACATATCTATTTGAAAACCGTTCACTTGGTGCTGAAATGCATCAGCTGATTATCCGTGATATACTATCTAGTTAGAGAACGCACCTCAACCTCCCAGAGTGTAGGGGCCCCACCAGCGTAGGAACTACCGGATCCGCACAGACTGCGGCTTTGTTTATAGTGGAATATCTAACCACCTCCTAGAGGAACACTGCCTTCGAAAGACTACAAAGGCATCACCGAGTCAGAGGCTCTTCTCTAAGTATCCGCCTGGGGCTCACCATCGACCAACTACGATTCCGTTCCCACGTAGAACTCTACTGGGCTTGGAACTTGAAAAACTCTTGCGCTACCCCGTAGAAATGACATTAGTTCCCATCTACTCGTTAGCCATTAAACGGGCAGGATGAGGATCTTTGTCAGTACCTAACACTTCGGCCTTACCGGACTTTTGATTCTCAATTTCACACCTCATGACAGGGTGTGTGTTACAGACGCAAGTTTGGCGCAGAAGCCGCCCCCGCCCCGTCGCTCTCCGCTTGTTCATTCCGAGTGGATGGACCTGCATTAAGCACTAGACAGCGTGTCGCCCTGAAAAGTTTACCCCAAGTGGCTGAAATGGATCAGCCTGGGTCGTCCCGCCGCGCTCCCTAGATAGAGAAGGCAACTCTCTCAGAGTAAGAACCTCCAGCGTAATTTGGATTCGCTCCGGCCTCGGTTTTGTTTATTGTGAAATGTCTAACCATCCCCTATAGGAACACTACCCTCGGAAGGAAACCGATAACGGTACCCCCGAGGAGCAGGTTCACACTAGGCTTTTGCCAGGAGCCTCACCACTCAGCATTTCGAGTCCATTCCCAAGTAGCAGGTATTTTCCGCTACCACGTAGTTGAGATGGTTATGCACCCTCCCCTGTCTATGCAGACAGGATCTGGTACCCTAGGCCACGCGTGCCTCTGATGCAGCACCCGCCGTCCGTTGTCGGAGGCTGACACGAATCCAGCTTGTGCTTTAGAGAGAATGCCACCTGGATTGAGAAAGGGAAGTGACCGAGGACACGAGGCTCACCTTTTCAAGTTGCACCCCCCGCCTTGTCCACTCTGTACCACCTGTAGCAACGACATTCGTTTCCCACTAGAGTCGCAATGTCATGTATCATTGAGGTTCTTTAGCGTGCGCACCTGGCCTATCACACGTTTAAGATTCTCAAGTTAGGAGCGACTCACCTCCGCGCACGGAAAATCTGCTGCTTCCGTGAGATTCATTGTAGAAGCCCTCAAATCCACAGACTAACCACTTGGAAATGGCCGACCGGTCGAACTGTGCTTCGGCATCGATGTAGTTCTATTAAGCACTTTTGTTTCAAATTAATTGAACGCTTATATTGATAATATTTTTTTTTTTTAAGAATCGGTGGTTTTTCCAAACCATCCAAAACATGGCGTTTTTTTGTGTATTTACGTTATTCTCTCGTAATCCGAAAAAGTTAGCAAAAGCTAATTTTATATGGTTGTTTTCCAATGTGGTCAATTTAATTTCATATTTATGAAAAGAAAAAACTTTTGGTAAAGTTTTGATTTTTATTCTCAGTTCGTGTTATTTTTTATTTTTTTTTTACCTTCCGTCAGTCTATCGTAGTACTACCTACAGGAAAGAAACGTAATCATGAATTAGATCTATTTTCTGAGAAAAAAGGTCAAAATATTGAAAAAACACTACTTTAGGGAAAACGCGATTGCATGAAAAACAGATTGTTTGCAGCGTTTGAATAGAATTTATGCAAACATCTATGCATGGATCAATAACTAGTATCAAAAAAGTTATTTTACCAAGGTTGTAAACAGTTTCTTTGATGGTTATATTTTTTTATCAGGTTTCACTAGGTTTTTGTTTAATTTTTACTGCCTTGGTGCATGATGTTCGTGTGCTGACACCTGTTCTCTATTTACATATAATACATCAAATCTATCAAATACAAACAAACCAACATATATTTCCATGCCATTCCACGACGATCGCATAAATTAAACACATTTCTCTCTTCTGATAACTTTAAAATAGCTTTCAAAAACTGTAAAACAATTCACACACT